GTGGTTCGTCTTTTCTTAAAGCATAATCAATATCCATCCATCCTAAATGGAGAAGAACTCTCTCTTTCCACACCTTATAGTTATCACCCTTTAATTCGGGAATATCACACTTAAAATCAGAAATGTTTGAAGGTTGAATAACTGCAAAAATTTTAAAAATACAAGCTCATTATTATTATTATTATTCTTTTATTTTTGAGACCATACAACAAAATATCATGTTTTACCAATGTAAATCATGCTTAAATTATTGAATCTAGTTTCATAGAACTTGCCTGTGGGCAAAAATTCTACTCAAATAAATTCATTTAACAACTTTATGATAAAATTATCAAATTATATTCCTTTTCTTAATTCCTGTGGGTAGATTAAGAAATATAAGTTGATATTTCATCCTAATTAATCATACAAATATAACAAAATTCCTGTGGGTAGATTTCATTATATCTCCTATGATTAATTACTACTAATGTTTTAATGTGATTCTTTAACTTAATATACAATTTTAATTAATTAAAGATGCTGTGGCTATTCCCTAATTAATTAAAATTACATGAATCAACTAACATTAATTAACTCTCTATTAAGAGCTAAACATTTGCATACAATCATAAATAATGCAAATAAAATGAATAAGAGTGCATAAATATTATTGACTCGAAACAACATGTCGTTTTGCATGATGAGACTGGCTTTTGCCGAATGAAAACGACACGTCATTTTCACCAGCGCCCAGACGACAAGTTGTTTGGCTCGTCTTCATCCTTCAGCCGGGTTATCTAGACCCAGTTCAGACTCGCGGCTCCGAATGAGAAATTTAACGGTTTCTCAGCCAAAATCAATGGTTCAAATCACAAAAAGCTTAGAAACTTAATTTCAACATGATTTCCAGTTTTATTTTGGATTAACAACGTCAAAAATCTAATGCCCCAAAATCAAAACATTTTCACAAAAACGGGCAATAAGAACGAGCATTAACCTTAATATCTCAACCAAGATTTAAGCATAAATAGAGTGAAACATAGTAAGTAAGGCAGAGGTTAATCAAGGTGCTTTGATACCAAATGAAAAAGATTCTAAATACCATATTCGATTTACAAAATTAATTTTTAAATCGATTAGCGGAAACAAGATAGGATCATACAT